ATGTGTCTGTTCAATACCCTTCTGTTAGCCTAATCGAGATCCTCGTTTATTAGCTTCTGTCTAGTAGTTTGGATAACTAATTCTCACTTCGCCGACACGTATCTGTATCAAGTCTCAACAATGTTGATTTACAATAAGGCTCATTGGTTAACATTAGTTAATGTTTTAACTGACAATACATTTGTTACTGTATTTGTTAATCTTTGTTAACATTATTAATAAAAAATACAGTCGTAAAAAATAAAAAGTAATTTTTACGTAAAAAAAAAAAAAACGGCTGCCGTTGTTTCCAGAACTTTACTGTCAAAAATACGGTAGCGACGTTATTGGTTTTTCAGACTTAACTTAAAATTTATAGTAATAAACCATATTTCATTATCTGATATACTGTTAATTTATGAACTTATTGAAGTAAGTTAATACTTAAATTCAATTCTGAGAAACGGGTCCGTGATCAGAACAAAAGTTCAGTTTGCAGCAGATATGCCAAGGAGAGACCCATGTATCCCATGATCCCCCTGAGTCCCAGTCAGAGATGACTTTCACATGACACTTTACATGCAGGAGTCAGTTCTCCATCGGGCCGAATCCTCTTCCCTCCATCCGCCACCGTCCAAGAGCTGTGGGGGTTTAAAGACTGTTTTACTTGGAACTTGTTCACGGGAAAGCCTCCCATTAAATACTTCGTGAAAGATTGTTCTCAAAACCCTATAATGATTTATGTGGGCGTCAAGCCTTGAATGTAATTTTAAGTGGGATAAACAGGAAAAATGCTTCTTGGTTTTAAGTATTCTTTGAAATCTGTACACGAATTGAGTTCTTGGCTTACGGTCTTGCTGATTCCCTGTCCATTAGAGTTTCCTTTGGTCTGGGAACCTCAGCGGTAAAACAATGTCTCGGGGAAACAGTGCATTTGATGATGATGAAGTAAAAGTATCAGTATCACAGAAGCTTCATTGTTGATTTCAAAGGTTCAGGACTGGAAAAATACATGTTGATTTTGTTTTTTTGTAATCCAAAACATTTGCATATTTCATAAAATTAAATAGGCTACAACTGCAAATAAATTAAGGCCCAAAATGTGGAAGAAGCCGTCATTTCCATCAAACCGCATTAATACGCCGTCGAGCGCCATCATAACTCGATCACATGACGTGAAGCATTTTCTGGCGCGTAATGTGACGTTTGAGAACCTAAAACCCTGTTTCTCCCAGTCGACACGCCAACACATAACCGGCGTTATCAGAAATCTCAACTTTTGCCGGATTTTTAAGTTTAAGTTTTATAAGCTCAAATACTCGCCTTGCTGTGTTCTGGGATGCACGTTTGTGACTCTCATGTTCAAACTCGTTCATCAAAATGAACGAATCTTTTTTCGTGTCATTTGGTTCATTCAACGACCGAAATGAACGGATTGACTAGGTAAAAGATTCGTTCATTTTGATCATCGAGTTCAAACAGGAGAGTCACGAATGCGCATCACAGAACAAAGCAAGGCGAGCATTTGAGCTTATAAAACTTAAACTTTGTTGTTTATTTATTAAATGAGCGATCGTTTCACTTGATAAGACCCTTATTCATCGTCTGGAATCGTTTAAAGCCCTTTGAACAGTTTGCAGTTTTCACTGAAACTCTCATTTGGACTTTGAACCGTTTGGACCCCATTGAAGTCCATTATATGGAGAAAAATGCTGGAATGTTTTCATCAAAAACCTTCATTTCTTTTCGACTGAAGAAAGGAAGACGTGGACATCTTGAATGACATGGGGGTGAGTAAATTATCAGCAAAAGTTTTTTTTAAAAAAAGTGAACTATTTTATTTTATTTAAATATAAACATTAGGTGTTGTATCGCATGCGTCTTTAGTAGTAGAGGCACTTTATCTTAAAGTATATCTTGGATGACGTGGGATTATTTTAATTCTGAAGTGAATTACTCCTTTAATTGTGTTCACCTCTCATGGTTGTGTCATGTCCACATGTCATCATACACCCACATCATCACACCGAAATGAGATTTCTAGATTTCCATGTCCAATGTCAGCTGGGATTCAACTGCTTTTTTCCAAGTAGGACATTAGAAACTCCAACTATGTGATTCGACTGGAAAGCAGCATGACAATTATATTAAAGCCATCGCAAAAATTGTTCCCTTTGATCGTTTACATGACCATTTGAAATGTGATTTGTGCGTCCAAATATTTATTGAGGGCACCATTTGTGTAGATCTAATGAAAAAATCTATTTCTAGTTGGTATTTTTATAATATAACTATCGCTAAGTTAATGTTGTTGAGAATTTGAAGCACGCCTATATGCCACAACCAAATTCATATGTCTCGGAGTTCAGAAATAGTTCAAGACATTGAATCTATTTAAATGTCGCGTACAAACGGCCCAGCTTTGATATATAGCCTCTATACTGTATGTACAAGCAAATACACACTTCATCAGACCTGATCCCTCTGTGAACGCAGGACCATCCACACAGTCATCAAGTTTGGCCATCACTAAAAAATGCTTTGAACTTATTTCCCATAATGTTTTATGTATATCTGGATTATTTTCACATGTGTCTGTCTAATATCAGGTGTCAGTCACAGGTGTCAGTCACAGAGTTGCATAACTGCTCATATGCATACGTACATGAACATGTTATATAAGGTTCATATCCGTTAGAGGTCAATACAGTCTGGGTCTCTGTTTGCGAAGTCGTGCGTATATCGCAAAAGGAGCTCGTATTGAATAGATATAAAACTTACGTAACTGACTCATTTCTGAATAGTGTTTTATGGGTCGATCTGTGTGAGTCTCATAAAAGTCCACATTTGATTTCTGATTTTAACTTGAAACACTCTTGCACTTTTGTTATCGAAACCAGCGTTCATAATAGAGGACAACATGTCTGTGATTATATATATATATATATATATATATATATATATATCTTTAAACTCTCTATGCTATTTGCAGTGATTCAGAATTAGTTAATAGTTCATTTCTTCATAAAAAAAGATCAAGAAATATTATTTTTTTTAAAAATCCACTCATAAATGAATACGAATGAATCTTGCAAAGAAATGGCAGGTAACAAACGGAATTAATAGTGAAATTTTGAAGTACTGAAATAGTATTTTTTTGTAAAACATACTGCAATAATCTGTTTAATTTACATATTAGAATTTTTTTTAAATGTCTGTGATTAGCAAATAATTGATTTATTTATTAATTAGTTTATATTTATTTAAGTTTTGTTTAGAATTTAGAAAATGTTAATAGTATGAAAAATACTTCATTGAATACCACATCGCTTCATAAAAATATGTAATTACTTTTGGCATAATATTTCAGAATGTTGATGGTGGATCTTGTGGCTGAGGTAAAAACGATATAAATACTGTTCGTTTTCTCACACAAACCGCTCGTTTCGTGTCTTAGGCCATCAGTGTGTACTTACATGTACGAGTCATTAAATCATGTTTAATGTGGACTTCATGCTCTTTGAGGTGGTGACCATAGACCTCCATTATATGACTGACAGACAACAACGGTTTGACCTAAAAATATAAAAATTGAAAATACTGCGGAAACAAAGACACCTACATCTTGGATGCCCTTGAGGTAAGATAAAACACACCAAAAATTAATTTCAAAGTCAACTATCCCTTTAAGATCCACTTTCCACGAAAACAAACAGCAACAGCTTACGGGTTTGGAGCGACAAGAAGCCGAGTAATTTATATTTTTGCGTGAACTATTTTTCAAAAATATGTTTTCTTCTCAGTGTTGTAAATGTTACTGCATCAAAGGGTTAAACGGACAGAGCGAGGAGCTTTCGGCTGGCAGAGACACGAGAACGGGGAAAACAAGGCAAAGAGAGGCAAATATTTGAAGAAGACTGGCATACAGGATGGGAGGGTGCATTTATGCCTTTTATATCCACCTTTCCTAAATATCCTTCTTTACCTCGCTGTTAAACCCCCAGAACAAAGAGATCCAGTTCCATTACTGAAGTATTAATATTGCATCTCATTCTCAACCAATGATGTATTATACAACTATACATTTTATCAGCCAGTGTCCAGTGTTAATATGAGCGAGGTCTGCCAGAAAAGTGTTTTAAAGCTGATTTGATGCTTTTCTTTTCAGCTGACAAAATCAAATAATACAATGCAACAATAATAGAGTTATTAACTTCATTAATAATATGCTTTCAATATCTTTTTGTGTTTAATATCAAAGATCCAGTCTTTGAACACACAGGTCGCGTAAACCTAAAGAATGTGTTATAGGGCGCTAATAACAAATCAAAGTGTTTCTGTGTTTTTATGTTTTCTTGTTAGATCTTTTTGTCAAATGTGCTTCATGTGTGATTGATTTATTAATCAGAAATCCTGTTTTCTACTGTTCTAGAACATTTTGTTTAGTCTTTGCCGGAGACAGCGAGGGCTCTTCCCAACAATATTCAACACAGGATTCCTGTATTTAACACTCTCTGTCCTGTGATGCTCAGCTCTGACACTTTTGTTCAGTAAAACTTTCTCACAAGCTATAATTTGAGAGTTGTGGTTTGTAAAAAAGTATAATCCATCCATCCATCCATCCATCCATCCATCTATCTATCTATGCTGCTACCTACACTCTAAAAATTGCTGGGTTGTTTTAACCCAACTTTGGGTCAAATATAAAAAATCAACCCAATAGCTGGGTTTGTCCAAAGTTAGGTTAAAACAACCCAGCAATTTTTAGAGTGTATATTCATTTTTTAAAAAAAATATATATATTTAATGTTGTTTTATTTTAGAGTGAAAGATGACCCGGTCAGGTGTTACAGTGTGAGCATGTTTATGGTTCTGTACTGTATGGGAATGTGTCAAGCAGACTTTAAGAGGGTGTTTTCCCTCGGGTCCGGTGGGCGGAGGGTTATTCTTTAACAATAGGACTGGATTGAGCAGCTGAACACCGGTGGGTTTGACTCCGCGTGCGTGAAATCCGAGTCGGGTTTAAAAGGCTTCGAGCAGAAGCACGGACAGTCGAGGAGAGACACTTGAAGATCAGGGTTGAACAACTAGGCTACTAATAACCTGCAAGAGCCTTGGGGTAAACGCACAATGGGGATAGTTAATGATTCAACCCTTGTGGGATTTAAATATCCATCATTTTACTTACACAGATATTTAATCAGTAATTTTTAAGAGTAGCGCGCAACAGGACACCGGCGTTTCCATTTACGCACGGAAAGCGCGCGCATTTTAACGCGTTGGATTGCTGTTGTTTTTAACGAGGCTTACAATGGGACACGCGAGCAACACATCGCACCCGGTTAACTCATCAGACCCGTACGGACGCGATGAAGAGGTCGCCAAAATCGAGATCGCGGTCCTCAGCGTCACCTTCGCGGTCGCCGTGATCGGGAACTGCAGCGTCCTGGTGGCCATTCACAACACCAAGAAGAAAACCTCGCGAATGCACCTGTTCATCAAACACCTGAGCCTGGCCGATCTCGTGGTCGCGTTTTTCCAGGTCCTTCCACAGCTGTGCTGGGAAATAACCTTCCGTTTCTACGGGCCGGACTTTCTGTGCCGGATCGTGAAGCACCTGCAGGTGATGGGCATGTTCGCGTCCACATATATGATGGTTATGATGACTCTAGATCGATACATCGCCATCTGCCACCCTCTGAAAACCCTCCAACAGTCCACCAGGAGGTCCCACATCATGATCGGGGGCACGTGGATCAGCAGCCTGGTCCTCAGCACCCCTCAGTACTTCATCTTCTCCCTCAGTGAGATCCAGAACGGGTCCGAGGTGCTCGACTGCTGGGGCCACTTCATCCAGCCCTGGGGACCCCGCGCGTACATCACCTGGATCACAGCTGGGATATTCCTCATCCCGGTCGTCATACTGATGACCTGCTACGGATTCATATGCCACAGCATCAGGATGAACATCAGATATAAGACCAAGATGACGCCGACTGATGGCGCGCACAAGAACGGGCTGATCGGGAAGAACTCCGTGAGCAGCGTCACCACGATCTCCAGAGCGAAATTACGCACCGTCAAGATGACCTTTGTCATCGTGCTCGCCTATATCATCTGCTGGGCGCCGTTTTTTACCGTGCAGATGTGGTCGGTGTGGGACGAGAACTTCAGCTGGGCCGGTGAGTGAACCCGTTCACATCAATACAGTTTTAGTAGCCTATTAAATATGCAGGCATGCAGAAAACACATGTGGGACACTGATGCGCGCTACTCTTAAATTACTGATTGTGAAATCATATGGAAACTGTTCCAAAACCACATGTTTCCCCTGTGCGCAGACATGTGTTTGGGCTATAAGCGTGCATTTACATATTATATTTCATTGTACATTCAATAAGAGTTAAAAATGTAACGCACATTTTATTTTCATACATATTTATATTTTAACAATTAAATATACTTTCATCTGATTTTAATACAATGTTTAATTTAAGAAATAAAATTGTATAATGCTTCACATGCATTTTATAATTACTTCACTGTAAAAAAAATATTTTTATAAACATTATTTTCATTTGTCAAATCAACTTAGCTAATGTAGTTCAGATAACATAATATTTTGAGTTTCTCGTGATTAAATTAATCTCCTTCATTGTATTAACTCAAATTTTCCATTTCAATTAACTTTAGTTAAAGTTAAACCAACAATATTTCTTTACAGTGTTGAATATCAAAGAGCAAAAATGTCCTTATCTTGTTTTGGATTGCACTCTGTAGTGAAAATGTGCATTTATCATATTTTTATCTGATATGACCCTAAATATAATGCTGAACACATACAGTACATATTAATACTTCTACTTTGGTGTTACTAATATATTTTTAGTCTGATAAAAGTGTTATGCTCAAATACATCTTTCTACATATTGCATCAAAATACGTTAAGCAATTGTCAACTTTTTTATCAGTTTAATGTTGAAAACGACTTAAACTGCCAAAGATTGTACTGAAAAAAAAAACGCAAGGCAGCAACTGTCTCTTTTCAGAATGATTTATTTTCTGTATCAAATTTAAACAGAAAACATATTGTAATTATGAGGCATTAATATGGCAGCAGAACAAATTTAACCTAAAATCTTAATAAAAAGTATGTATTGTATTGTTTTAATATCATAAAATGTGTACCAGTACCTTCAAAATCACAGCAGCGCGTGAAGTTTAACGTGCAACAAATGGCTGCTAATGGAAAGAAGTGATAATGCGTTAAATATAGTCTCTCTGATATGATCATATCTTTGAGAAATGAAGTCACGAGACCAGAATAGAGCGTCCAAGCACATCTGCAGAGGGTTTATGGTGTGTAAATCTGTCATTCCTCGTGAGGTTATGGCATGTGTATATAACCCGATTTCACCCCATCTTCACCTAATAGTTCAAGAAGACAAATGGCTTCAATCGAAACAAATGAGTCATTCGTTTCGCTATATTTATGTGTAGTGGCGCTGCAGAACACCTGCGGGTAAAAGTGACTAAAACTAAATGATTTATTTGTTATTTATCTATCTATAGCCTATATATATATATATATAATTTTAAATCTGGAGATTTCTTTGACTCTTGAAAATTACAATGACACTCTGTTGCCTAAGATAATTATTTTATAAAGCATATCTTCCGCCCCTGGATGCTGATTGGCCAATGCCGTGACTTTAGAATCTGATTGGATGATGTATGTTCTAAAATGTTGATATAATGTTACATTCTATATTAATTGCCATTGCTATGTTGCTTGTCAAGAGAGAGATTAATGAACATGTTACTTGTGGAAAGGATTATTTAAGTACATCGGTGTATTAAAGCATTTAGCCACAGGTATCGTTGATAGTCAAACCAAAAATTATTCAGACACCAGATATCATTTTTATATCTTTGTTACTAGTGGGTGCAGGACACTAGAGTTTATTTGAAGTATTTTTAGTAAACTCTGAAATATTACACCCAATACAGTAAAATTTATACAAATTTGAGACCAAAAATGACTGATGATTTCTGTTATTGCTAATGCTCTGAACAACACGAAGCATTGCTGGTCACTGGTTGAGCTAAACTGGTATTATCTAATTGTGGAGTTAAATTTAACAGATATTCAACATAATTCACGTGTGAGAGTCGAACAGAAGGACGGACAAAACCAGTCAAATATCCACTGAGTTCTGCTCGTATTTTATTACAATTTTCAGCAAATAAACTTGTGATAATGTGAGAAATGTTGAAGGTGTGTGAATAAACGTTGGTTTGACTGTGTGTGTAGATTCGGAGAACACGGCGGTCACTCTCTCTGCGCTGCTGGCCAGTCTGAACAGCTGCTGTAACCCGTGGATCTACATGGTCTTCAGCGGACACCTCCTGCACGACTTCACACACTGCTTCCCCTGCTCCCATCAGATCCAGCAGAGCTTCCGGAAAGAGGACTCGGACAGCAGCTTACGGAGGAACACACTGCTCACCAAAATCACCAACCGAAGCCCCACGTGCAGCTCGGGAACCTGGAAAGATCTCGACCAGTCCCCTAAATCTGACCGATCGGCTCCGGCCGGCACGTGATGATGCCCCGGGACGGGAGTGCATCTTTATTGATATTCGGATAATGCTTTTGACTTTATTGATCTTTATTGATCAGCACTTTGGAGAGCCTCTCGCTCACTAAATGCTATCTATAGCACGCACTGTGTTTATCGTGCAATTTATACGCGAAAATGAGTTTTTACACGTCTTTACTAGTGGTGTCGGGTGCGCGTGGACACGCAAATGAACATCGCATGAAATGCACACGAAAACTGTGTATCATATGCCCGTAAAAACTCATTTTCGAGTATAAATTGCACGATAATACACAATGCGTGCTATAGAGAGCACAGACTCTCACGGCGGATGAGCGGATATACACCAGTTTCATTTAAAGGGGTCATCGAATGCAAAATTCACTTGTATATGGTGTTTGCATATATGTGTGTATGCAGTTTGTGGACACGACCACCATACAATGAAGAAAATCCATTCACTCCTTTTTTATCCTCAAAAAGCCTAAACACTCTCAATGATCAAGCCATTTGGAGCCATTTTTTGAGCAATATGAGTCATGTATATTGCTCATGCTCCGCCCACGACCACTGTCCCGTATTAGCATATTTCCCATATTAGCATATTTCCAACCTCAGCCATTTGTATTAGTTCTGCCAAAGCAGCTCTTTACATGTCTTGTGTGGAGGAGCAGTTGCTCATTATCATTTAAAGAGACATGCACCTAATTTTCATTTAAAGAGACATGCACCGAAACAGGTCAAACAGAACTGTTATAGAGGAGGTAAAAGGGCGTTGTTTTACACAATCATTGAGGAATTTTATCCAAAATATGTTACAAACTTTACACAAAGACCCTAAAGAATGACACCAACTTGTGGAAAATGGGCATCCGATGACCCCTTTAAAACTCATTTAAAACAATAAGAGTACAGAGCTGTGAGATGAATATATGGAGAACAGCTTGGATCATTTGATCAGAAATATTTGACTTTTTATTGCGGCCAAGCAGAGTTTGAGACATTGTTTGGAAACTTTCTGAAGTCTGTCTTTGTCTCGACTCCTGCTGAAGTCTTCATTGCTGTCGTCAGAGAGAAGTTTGAATACGTTTTTTTAAAAATGCTTTGAGTCTCTTTTGCTCACCAAGGCTGCATTTATTTGATCAAAAGTACAGTAAAAAATCAGAAACATTATTACCATTTAAAACAGCTGTTTTTAACTGAATGCTAAAATGTAATTTATATCCTGTGATCAAAGCTGAATTTTCAGCAACATTACTCCAGTCTTCAGTGTCACGTCACGTGATCCTTCAGAAATCACTCTAATATGATTCATATTTTTGTGGAAACTGATACACTAGCATTAAAAAAATATTGTTTAGTCACAAAGGACGCATTCAATTGATTAAAAGTGGCAGTGAAGGCATTTATTGTGGTTACAAAAAGATTATACATTTAAAATAAATGCTGTTCTTTTGAACTTTCTATTCATCAAGGAATCCCGAAGAATGAAAAGTGTCACGGTTTCCTGAAAATATAAGTTTCAAATCACCATGTTAGAGTGATTTCTGAAGGATCACATGACACTGAAGCCTGATGCTTTGATCACAGCAATAAAATACACTTATATATTCACAGATTTAAAATATTGCACAATTTTTACTGTATTTTTTATCAAATAAGAACAGCCTCGGTGAGCAGAACAGACTCTTTCATAAAACGTAACGTATTTTATTTTTATTTAAATGTATCGTCGTTTATTGCATTGAAACATTTTACAAAAGGCACTTGAGGTTGTGTTACAGTACTATAATGCGAATATATTCACGCCGCATGCAACAGCCTCTCGCGCCGCCGTGTTGCTTATACAGATCATTGTCTATAATGGAAACAGTGGGAACATGGAAAACGCAGTAAATCTCCTCAGGGACTTCGGCACAATGAGTCCTGCGAGGCATTTCCTGAGATAAGCGTCTGCTCAAGCCTGGCGCTCGGTGTGTTCTGGCCCAGCTTACCCGCACCTCGTGCCAAAGTAAAGCAGACTGACACCTGCTGCCACACACACTCACACAGGGCGAAATATAGCAGTTTCAGGAAACGAAATAAATGTTGCACTAAATAAACTATGCTTAATGAAATATTAACGTCACGTTGGCAGCATGAAACCTTATCAGATTGCTCTTATAAATGAATGTTTTTACATGCATGGCCAATCACGTCTTTACTGTAGCCCGATCTCACGAAATTGCGTATCAATAGCACAAATTTTTCTCGTACCAAAAATAGTTTTTGTGTCCATATGATATAGCGTGTAATACACACGCACTCCACTTATCCCACCGATGGGTTACAATGCGCATCATAAATGGTACGAGAAATTAAATTCGAGCTATTGATTCGCACTTTCAGGTTTATAACTCTTTTCAGGTGTTTTATTGTACATGCTAAAATATTCCAGGCTGTTTGTGCATATATTGAAGTTATAAATAAATGCAAAGCTACAACAGAAAATCTTATTAAAATTGTGGGTAACACTTTACAATAAGGTTTATTCGTTAGTATTATTTAATGTAGGCCTATAACTAACATAATGCATGAGCAATACATTTGTTGCAGTATTTCTTCATCTTTGTTATAAAAATACAGCTGTTCAATGTTAGTTCACAGTACATTAACACGATTTTAAATGTTGAAATTAACAATTCTGTATGTGCAGTTCATTATTAGTTCATGTTAACTAATGTTAACTTATGAACTTTACTCTAAAGTGTTATCAAATTGTCTTTGCGTGCGTTCAGGTTTTGTTAAAGTCGATGTTGAAATGCGATTATGAAACTTTAAATGTGTTGTGTACCCCTCACAAATCTCTCAGTGTATCTGTGTGCCAAATACAATAAATCAAACCTTCAAGAAATATTAGTTCTGGATCTGTGGCGAGAATGTGTTTTTAGCAACCGATCGCCGTTTCTAGCGCTGCCATTCAATTGCAACTTTACTACACACACGCAGCTGCGAGTTTAACTGGCTTTTATTAGCATTTTATTGTTGTTGCTTTCAGTTCTAGTGTTTGATGAAGCACCTAATGCAAAACAAAAGTGGACTCTAATATTTCTTCTTTGTTCGTGTTTGTGCGAATGCAACGCCAGACTCTTCATCAGTGCAGATTGCCTACTAGGATCCTTTCCAAACATCCGATAATAGCTGGAGAGTTTCCTGTTTGTTTCCTGTTCGAGTAGCTACACATGTTCTCTCTCTCCAGAACTCACCAACCGTTCTCCTGTCCGGTCCGCGAGTCCAGAGACGAGACAGCTGCGGTGTGTGTGTGTGTGTGTGTGTGCGTGAGAAGAGTTACATCAGACTCGCATGTTTATGAATGTTCTCTCTCTCCTGCCACCTCTGACCTTAATGTATCCCAGACGCGTGAAACTGGAACAACAGAACGAATGATTTCAGTGTATGGTGTCCGAGAGATGATGTTGAAGAGATGTGATGTAAAAACTAAGACCACATCGTGTTTTCTTAATCATGTCCATGCTGAAAAATGCACACAATTATGTGTCTCAGTGGTTTACATGTTCTTTTCTCGTACACAAAATAAACATAAACCGTTCTTTCTATTCATTCTAAAAAAAAGAGCTTTATGCCAGAGTGTGTGTGTGTGGCTGCAGTACCGAACGCTTCCACTAGAGGAAATTCGCTTCCATTCGTTTCCAATGCGCTAATAAAAAGTCTGACCATTTTATTGAGGGAAAATATAACCTTTTTAAATCATGTCCGAGATTTTTTTTTTCCACATAGCACGTTCCAAAAGCTTTACCAATTTTCGTATAATTAATTTTTGGGGGTCAAAAATTAGCCTACGAAACGACACAGAAGGGGTTAACCTGTCCAGCGATTTGATTTTCCTCAGAAGGACTTCTTGTACCAGCCTCATACTCAGTCAAAAACCTCATAAGTTGCATAAAGCCAATCAGATTAGAACCTGGCAAAAAAAAAAAAAAATTCAGTTTTGCTCTTTAACTGGACTGTGAAGCTGAAAATATCAACCCTTCTGAAACCATCAATCCTGGGGTGCGTTTCCCATACAACGACGTAACGTTAGTTTGCTGATTCACTACCATAGTACGATGCATCGTTGGAAAAATCAACTAGTCACGACTGTTTCCCGAAACCCACTGTCGCAAACTATCGTTCAACACGTTGGTTTCGCACGTGATGGAGTAATAATACTGTTTGAGATCCAATTAACGCTAGATTTGTTTTATATCAATTACAGACATGTCATCTGAGGACTATTTCTAATTGTTCTCAGTTATTTTGCTTTATTACCAGACTCAATATTTGGCTCGTTCTTACATAGTAGAGCACGTTCGCACATGCGCACTCTTCAAACACGTTACTTCAAATCTTTTGAAAAACTAAAAGACGTAAATTACATTTATATGTATACTGAATAAATGGCACCGGTTGTACTGAATGTCAGCTTGCTTATTTTGCTCAAGATAAGGATTTCTTACCTCCAAATGTCATGCAATATATAGAAACGGTGCCTCTAATCACAGGTCGAGAGCTGTCGTTCAAACCACACAACTTTGAGATGCTGTTTCGCGAATGTTCGTTGGAACGATGATGGTTTCGGGAAACACCGACTTGTTGAACTGACGGAACATGCGACCATAGTTGGCTAACGATGCTTTCGGGAAACGCACCCCTGACTAGTGGAAAGCAGCGAGTGGCCCGAGGCCGGTTTAATCAGTTCTGTTCTCCAGCAGGGTTATTTAGGAGGACGTGTCAAACACTCTCTCTTCAAGCTATCAAAGCAAACCAGGGTCCAATTAATATTTCCTGGAGACATTACTGAGACCGAGAGCTGAGAGACCCTCGTCTGTCTGACGTTTCCACTCAGAATTAGTCAGGATAATTTTTCTGCCGAACATGTTGAACTCTTTAGCTATTAATGAATGATTATGCTTGTGTTGTTATTTAAGAAAATATTTCAATAAAAGGGTATTTTAGAAATCTGTTCATCAAATTCAGACGTTTCAGTTTTATTAATTTGTACTTGATTATTTATGCAGTTGTACACAATTACTAAGGAATAGGCCGTCCTTCTAGAAAAGGACAGAATAAAAATAGGATGGAAATGGGTCTTTATTGACATCAATGGAAAAAGAAGCAGTGAAATGGTTTAAAGTTGAAATATTGAGGCTTATGACGTATTGGTTTATGTCAAGGTGTCATAACAAAGACATCTCAAACCATGTAATATTTGCTTTAAAAATGTCATAACTGAGCGAATGACAGTTATCATAACATAGTTGTCATGCATAAACCCTACTTCATATTCATGATGTGTCATATGATTAAGAAGGTGTCATGTCAGTCTTATGCACACCCCTGTTACCAAGAAAACTATTTTATCCAATATTTTAAAACAAATGTTATTTTATAGAAAAATTATGAAGTCACATTATAGACGCATACAACAATGAATTATGTTTGACATTATCATAATAAAGAGGGAGGGGGGATTGGCAAAGTCTTGTTGCATTAATCTTAATTGTGCAACGTGTTATCAGGCATCAGTAGGGGAGGATCGTAACTCCATTACACTGGCGCGCACATGTGAAAGAAGCCCTTTAAATGCACATCTGGATTTTGAATACTGGGTCTCTGTCTTGTCTTCATGGAGATTAATTGCTTCTTCTGTTCAATATAACAGACTCCTTTCCATTCACTCTTCCCAGATGAATCCGTCTGATGTGGCCGGTCCAGTACGTTCTGTATGTATAGATCTCAATCTGACTGAGGTCTGGGATTGACTGAAGTCGGGCGCTATTTCTGCATTTATAACTTTTTAAAACGCTAATTTATTATGTTAAACACATAGATTCTCTCAGACATGACAAGGAGCATGAAATCCCAAAACAAGGTCCAACCAGTGTTATATCACACTATCTGACCCAAACCCAGGGCTCTGTATTCATATAATTAACTCCAGCTGTTATGACTATTAAGCGATCAGGAGACTCCTCCATTGTGTTTGGATCAAGAGTCGACGCTTACACAAGCATCAAAGCTTTCGTAACCACCATCTTTTCCAGTGATGCATGTTGTTGTGGAAAATATTTCTCTTCTTCTTGAACTCATCTGTAGATGTTCTGGGCTCAGTGATGCGTTTGGGACATT